GGCTTACTGTGTAATGGGTCAAAACTTCAGATCAGGTCTTCGGAGCTTTCTCCCTCTAATCCACATTTAAATAACTCACCTTTTGCTGTGGGTTTTCAGTTCTCTTCACAGTGATGATGGCAGCTGCCTTCACTCATGTGGGCACAAGCCACTGAGGTCAGAACAAGGTACCCAGCATCAATAGCATGGCTTGGCACCTCGTTCTGACCCCAGCAACAGTGCCAGGCAACAAACAGTAGCCACGTGGGAAGGCACCTGTCCATCTCTTGCTGCAAGAGACAAAACTCCAAAGCAAAAGAGAGCAGATAAGGGAGGAATTCTGGGCCAGAGTATTCCAGGGACAGCCAGGAGTATTCTGGCAAGTGTAGACCCACCCTGAAAATGTGACCTCATTCTACTCTTGTATCCCAAGTATTGATGTCATTTTATTTAACTACATTTGTAGCCTTTGTTTCCTATAATGAGCTCAAGGCAGTACTTATTGCATTCCTCCTCCACACTTTATCCTCATAACAACTCAGCAACATAGAATCAAGGTTTGCTTTTGGGATTTAAAAATAATATATATTTTCAAGCTGTGGATGGTTGAATCCATGGATGCAGAATCCAGAGATATGGTGGGCAGACTGTAATACCTTGTTGGTAATGACTAGGGGTATCAACCAGGTTGAAGGTTGGGAGAAGAGGAAGAAATCCACAATCATTGTGAACTTTCATGGCTTAGTGAGGAATTGAATCATGATCTCCCAGATCCATGTCCAGTGCTCTAAACCAGGGGTAGGCAACCTTTCTCCTTTAAGGGCCGAGGGACTTCAGCTCCCAGAAGCCTCAGCCATGTTGGTCAATAGCTCCTGGAATTCTGGGAGCTGAAGTCCCTCAGCCCTTAAAGGGGAAAGGTTGCCTACCCCTGCTCTAAACATTTCATTAATTGTTCTGTCCTATTTGTACCTGCTCAAAAGTAAGCCCTGTCATGTTCGGTAGAGGATCTTCTCTCTACTTAGTGTGTGAGTTGGGAGAGGTACAAATTGTCTTTTCTGTCAATTGATCTGGTTGATCTAGTCCACAGTATTACCTTATTGGGTACAGTGGCTGATGACTTAGAATTGCCAGTTTACTTGTCAGGTTTTGGGCTATAGAAATAGTTGAATTTGGAAATGGAGGCAGAAACTTGAAGATGGGGTTGAGGAGGAGATGGTGGTTTACAGCTGTTGGTGGACAGCAGCTCCCATCATGCCTCACCATTGGCTCTGCTTGGCTAGGATTAATGGACATTGTGCAGTTGAACCTGGCATCTCCAAAATTCAGGGGTAGCTTAGTTTGCCTTTCTATTGCAGCTGCCTGTCAATGGAATTATGATTACAGAGTATAGGCATACATTAAAAAATAACCCATATCATTCCCAACTAAAGAAACAGTCGACAATGTGTTTCCACAGATTATGCATCTATGCATTCAATCATCCATGGCTTGAAAATACTTTTTTTAAAAAAAGTTGAAAACCCAAACCTTGACTTTGTCATTTTATATAAGGAACACCATGTTACTATACCATTGTATATAATAGGACTTGAGCATCCATTGGTTTTGGTATCTGTAGGGATTCCTGGAACCAAACCCCAACACATACCAACACTGTAGAATAAGGTGTTTTTTATTGTTAATTTGTAAGGCTGCAGTTTCAGCATTAAGTATGTGAAATTTGGGAGATTCCCATTAAAACCTTGGATCCCAGTTGATTCCTCTCTTTTACTCTTGCATTTAAACCTTTATAGCCCCTTGATGAATACCCAGGGGTAGAGAAAATGTTCATAAAACTCAAAACTTTGAAAAGGTCCTTAAACTGTTTGTTTATGATTAGGTCTGTTTTTATCTGTGTGACGCACAATGATAGAACTCAAACACTTGGGGGATTAATGACAGCAGGCCATAAATGGGTTTACTTAGAATACTTGGATTTTAGCCAGATGATTTCTGCAGGGCTGAATCAGCTTGTTTCCAAATTTTCGAGTTATCTTGTTGGCACATGGCTCAAATGACAGGGAGTATTTCTCATAAAAGGAGCAATAATCCAGTTTTAAATAAAAGGGTTGCAAAAGATTTTGAAGGGAGGGAGAAGAACTGTCAGACTAATATAAGAGACAGGGAAGTAAAGGTTGCGAGACACCATTTAATGTTCATTGCCAGTTGTTACTAGAAATGTCCGAGGAATATCCACATCTCAGCTCTTAATCCATGGAGTTAAATCAGTCCTTTTTCTGTGTGGGCGAACTCATTTTTCAAGCTTTCATTGGGTCATTAGTGGCTCTTTTATTAACTCCACAACATCAGGAAAAACAAAACACACCTCTAATCCCTTGAAAGATAATGTTGTACATTCCCATTTATCACTCTTCAGCCTTCACTGGAATTGTGTTTGGCTGTCATTATCAGGGAGATATGTTTGGCAAAGTGAGACAAAGTGGGTTGAAATTCAGAGAGAATGAATTAAAAATGGGTAGTGTGCACCCTCCCAAAAGATTTGAGCCTGGGTCAGGTGAGACTTCATGCTGTTTTCTAGATGGCATTGTGTTAGGGGTGTGAGTTTCTGATTTTGAGTGGTCAGGTACTTAGTTTGGGGTACGCCCTCCCAATTCCTGATTCATGTATATATATTTTAACTTGAGGCTACTTTTCCAAGTGCTGGCTGTTACTAGCAAGGGAACAGTGAACTTGTCAGGGTCTTGTACCGAAATAAAACCCGTGGCTGGATGTGATGCTGTGGCTTATGCTAGAAGCCACTCTTCTGGGAGCCCAAAGTTGCATTTCCCTTGGTTTCCTATGCACTTCTATCTGGCTATTGTGGGCACTGGAGTCCCATGGCTGACAGCACCATGTAGTGTTAGTGGGTCTCTTACTGTCAGGCTGAGGACTGGCCCTTCCTCCTCTCAGACCATGGGAAGAGGACTCAGCAGCCACATAGGCTTTGGAAAATCACCTTCAGGAAGTCATTTTGTGGTATCTGGAGAGTCAGGCCAATCCATTCTGTGCAACAAGGGATGGGAGAAATATAAGCTGTTTCTTATGCTAGTCTGACTGTTGTCTCAAAAAATAATGCACAGTCAGCCCTCTGTATCCACAAAGAATCCATGGATAGGAAGGGCTGACTGTACATTCAACCATCCACAGCTTGAATATATATATTTAAATTCCAAAAAGCAAACCTCGATTTTGCCATTTTATATAAAGGACATCATTTTACTATGCCATTGTGTTTAGTGATGCCAGAAGTGGAAGAAGGGATGAAAAATGATATTCATTTGTCCATATTGTATTTGTAACGCAGGCAACTGTAACAATATCCAAAGACACCCTATGAGTTCTAACAATGTCCAAATTTCAAAGGCACTGTCCAAAGTGCTGAACACTTTTTAAAAAGAGTTCAGTACTCTAGATGGGTCCTTTAAAGTTTTGTCTAAAATCTGGAGTGCATTCACCACCCTGCTGACATGGGAGCCACCAACTGCCCCTGAACATTGCTTAGGAACCCTAGAACGCTGCCTAAAGCTGGAATAGATTTACCATTCACTGCTATGGGATCCAGTAGCTGCAACTGGGAGAGAGACAGAGAGAGTGAATTATGTAGACTTGTAATGCATTGGCACTATGGTTTATTCTCAGCTCAATCTTAGCATTATCTAAAAGCAAATAAATAAATATCTGAAGATACTCAGGATTGAACCTTTGGATCTTTAGGATCCAGAGCACCTGCTCCAACATTGAACTACGTCCATACTCCCAAGTGCTCAAGAAAGTGTTCTTTCTTAAAGAGAGATCAGGTTTTTAAGAAGTATTGTTGCACCATTCTTCATACAAAAATATTTGGCAATTAAAATACCATTAAAGCTATAGCCGGCCTTCCGTATCCACAAGTTCTGCATCCACAGATTCAACCAACCACAGCTTGAAAATATTCCCCCAAAATTCCAAAAAGCAAATCTGTGAGGTGTTCTCCATTTTTTATAAGGGACACCATTTTACTACGCCACTGTATATAATGAGACTTGAGCATCCACGGATTTTGATATCTACAAGGAATCCTGGAACCAAAGCCAAGCAGATACCAAAGGCTCAGTGTAATTGGAAAATGAAAGCAATTTCTGGATAAATATTGAGGATATACCTATTAAAGCTAATCAATACTTTTGCAGCTCTTTCCCCCCCCCCATAGACATTATTTTAAAATTCTTTTTAAAAAAATTAATGAAAAATAAAGAAAAGATTATCTAATGTATCCTACATCTGTGTGGGTATTTCGGAGGAAGAACCCCCCCCCCGGCCAAAATCCTCTACATAGTCTTTGCAATCACAGATCCCTATTTATATTCTCTGCAGCCTTTGGGACTGCTTGAAGAAGCGCCTGTCCTGGAGTCAGACTCTTATAATGAGCTCCGGAGAAAAGCCAGCAGCTGCAGCTGCATAGAGATGGAAGTGCCGTTGGATGGCTGTTTGGCTCATGAGTGATAAACAAACCCCACACCATGACCGTTTGATAATTTCTGAGGCAAAGCAGCTGTGGTAACAGAGAACCTCCGGGGACTGCCTCCTCCCCAGGCCCACTACTTGGGGCGGAAATATTCCTGAGGAAGGGTTTATTTTATCAGATCTGGGCAACTTTTCCAGGCTTGGCCTCTGTTGTGTCCCAGGAGTTCTGCTTCTTCAGCAAAAACTAAGTGGGTGAAGTGAAGGCCTCGGCTCTACTCCCTGTCATTCCTCATCCTCTATCAGCTTCTGATTTCTGTAAGCCACATCCGTTTGTTCATTCTCCCTTCCTCCCTCCGTTCTCCCCTCCTCAGTAGAGATTTCAACGAAAAGCAGGAAACTCTTATCCACTTTATTCTGCTTAATACACATTTAGTGTGTAGGTAAAAGTTTGAGGTTGGTTGCTTTGTAGGAATTGCTCCTCTTCCCGCACACCCAACAAAGGCAGAACACTTTATTTTAACATTATACTGAGTATAACAGCCAGAGTGGCGTAGTGGTTTGAGCGTTGGGCTAGGACTTTGGAGACCAGGGTTTGAATCCCAGCTCAGCCATGGAAACTCATTGGGTGACCCTGGGCAAGTCACCATCTCTCAGTCTTGGAGTATAGCAATAGCAAACCCCTCTGAAGACACGTGCCAAGAAACCTCCATTATAGGGTCGACTTAGAGTCCCCATAAATCAGAAACAACTTGAAGACACACAAAAACAACAGATAACTTTAATATACTTAAAAATAGGCAACTGGATGATCTCCAGATATTTTGGATTGCAGCTCCTGTAATTCTAGACATTTTTTCAAACTGATTTTATCATACACCATTCCCAAATCCTTAGTTCTAGTATGGGAAATAAGTATTTTAATAAATACATCTTAAGTCTGACATTCTGACTTGAGAGATGAACAATTTTGGCAGGTCTACGGAACAGTTTTGTCACCTGGTAACTGGCTAGAAGGTGTACTCCTCACTGAAAATGTGTTTCTAATGGTTATTTCAGAACCTGAGGTTCATTTCTTTGTGGGAACGGAACAGAAAAACATCCCCCGCACACACAAATTCACTCACTCTCACACACACTAAAGCAGTGCTTCCCAAATTATCTGATGTGGGCAAATAGCAATTCCCCCTCAATGTGCCAGGGACTGGTGCCCTATTTGCACCCATTGACTATAACTGTTATAACTATAACTTCCTTCTTGTAACCTCACTAGGGAGCATCAGCTGATGGCTCATGGACCTGTACTGGGCTAGGCACCACCACTTTGAATAGCACTGTAGTAAAGCAAGATGTCTTGGGAGGCTTACCACCCAGATCCCCCCCACCTTTGACTCCTAAATATCCAGATGGATAGATATACAGATGGATGGATAGATAGATGTCCCATTCCTAGAAGCCTCCAAGAGAGGTAAGCCTTTATACGTCATGTTCATCATCATCTTCTCATCCCACCTCCTCCCCATTACTTCTACTGCTCTTATTTCCCCAGACCTGGAACTCAAAGCAGCTAGAAAAGTTAGAAGGGATACAAATAAATTACATATTACTATAAACATACAAACATTAAAACATAATCCAACTATCAATAGAACTGAAAGCAATTTAAAAGCATACCCTTTGTTTTTAAAAAAATACAGATAATACAGCACATTATTACAGCTTTTCCCCCTTGAACAGTCAATTCCAAAAGTCCTTTTGAAACATTAAAGTTTTTGTCCAATGCTGGAAGGATACTCTGGAGGATGCTAGTCTAGTCTGTCTAGAGAAGGTGATTCAGAGCCTGGGAGCAGCCCATGAGAAGGTCCTTTTCTATGTTCCTATCTGAGGTATCTGTGAAGGTGATGTGACAAAGGGCCTTTGCAGACTGCTAGAAATAGTGCAAATTGAGTCCACTTTAACTGCCCTGGCTCAGTGCTAAGGAATCATGGGAACTGTAGTTTATTGTGGCACCAGAGCTCTCTGACAGAGAAGGCTCAATGTCCCAGAAAAAAATACAATTCCCATGATTCCCTAGCACTGAGCCAGGGCAGTTAAAGTGGACTCAATTTGCACTATTTCTAGCAGTCTGCAAAGCCCCAGAGTGTCTCAAGAGACAGGAAGGTTCATATAGGAAAATATGGTCCTGCAGATAACCTGGAGCTAAGCCATGTAAGGCCTTATAGGACATTGTTGGCACTTACAATGCTCTTAAGAACATTGAAATGTGATGTTTACTGATGGCAGCTCATCTGATTGCAGCCTAAACTTGGGAAAATCCAGAGCTTCTAATACTGAGTTCTTGATATATGATGAATAGTTACATCAACTTAAATTAATTGAACATAAACGTGAGAGTTCCAATTTTTGCCCAACATGGCATGATTTCATTTTATATTTGAATCAGGGGCCTGTGTAGTAACATTTATTAGAGCCTTCCTTTCCTTAGATTATGTGAAAGAGACTGAACATAAATGGTTACTACAAAGAGCTATATAGAAAAATCTATAAATTGTCAATGGATTCCATGTACATCTTCACCTGCAAAGTAATGAAAGATAAAATATTTTAAATGGCTGATATTCAGCACTGGGATCTCCTCTGGCCCCTTCCTTGTTCTTTTTCCATCAGTAGGTGAAATATTTTTCCCCACATCTGGTTTTAAAGAATGAAATGATTTAAAAGAAATGGCTTTTAAGAACTGCTGTACTGCTTTTAAGCTGCTTTTTATTATTTTAGCAGTCTATTTTAAAATGCCTCTAATATTGTTGACATCTTAATTTTAAATTTTGGACAACCTTGAATTCTAGTTTTGGGGGTGGGTGGGTGGGTGGAGGTAGGATAAAGATGTGGTAACCACCAAAAACAATGCTACTACCTGTCAATAGTCAGATTTATCTGCAAAGATCATAGCAGTGATCATGACTGTTTTAAATTGCTTCTGGTATTATTGACAGCTTAATTATATTTTAATGCTAACTTTTAAAATGTTTTAAAATGTGTTTTAAAGATGGGGTAACCACCAATAACAACAATGATGCTACCTGTCAATTGTCAAATTTAGCTGCAAAGATTATGGTGTGAAGCCCTTAACATAGAGGGGTTGGGCATGTTTGAGATTCTGTTATTTGCCAAAGAAGTAAAATATCAGTCATTATCAGTAGGTGTTTAGATGTGGTGCTTGGTAACTAATGCCAATTGGGCTGCTTCTGCACTGCAAAAATAATGCAGTTTCAAACTGCTTTAACTGCCATGGCTCAGTTCTGGGATTTGTAGTGGCATTAGATCTCACAGACAAAAAGACACTAAATATCTCACAAAACTACAAATTCCAAAATTCCATAGCATTGAGCCATGGCAGTTAAAGTAGTGTCAAATTGCATTAATTCTGCAGTGCAAATGCAGCCTTAGTTTCCCTGCAAGGTACAAAGTGTTGGTTGTTACCTTTAAAGCTCCACATCATTTGGGTCCAGGTTTCAGTGCCAAAATTTACAGGAAAACCATTTGAAAATGGAAGTCAGATGGCACCTTACACCTGCCAGAATTGCCAAAATACATAAGGAAGCAAAAAAATACCTGCTGGAAATGTCAGTCGGCAAGAGGTACATGGATTCCCATGTGGTGGGAATGCCCAAAAGTGAAGATTTTTTGGAAACGTGTCCACGCTGAGATTGAAAAAATGTTAAGAGTAAAATATGACAAAACTCCGGAGTTATACCTTCTCAATATGACTGACAAGCTGCCTAAAAATGTCAAAGTCCAAAATTGGAAAAAGATTCTATATATGATAACAGCAGGCAGATTATTAATAGCGCAAAAATGGAAATTGGATATCTTACCCACCATAGATGAGTGGCTATTAAAATTGCAGATATGATAGAAATGGATCATCTTACAAATATGATGCATGATAAATCAGAGGAAGAAATAGAGAAGGATTGGTCCTTGACTGTCATATTGTAAGAATAGATGGAGTTAATATGGGTAATATATAATATAGAGATGATAAAATCAGGGAAGATAAGATAGCGATGATAACACAGAAGTTATAATAGACTGACTGTAAATGGAAGTGAAACCAAATATACCAAATACAAACACTGTGTGCAAATGTTTATTCAAAGGAATAAATTACTTACAGTAGAAAAGAAGAAAATAAGATTATATGTATATCTAGATATTTCATTATTTTTGTTACCGCTAATTGAAGGTTTATGTTTTATATACATTGTAATGTACATTTACATAATAAAAGATTTCACGGGGGGGGGGGAAGCTCCACATCATTTGGGTCCAGGTTTCCTGTTGGATCTCTTTCTCCAGTATAATACACTCAGGTCCTCTGCGGGATATTTACTTCAGTCAGCTGGGACTAGGCTGGTGACTGTCACCCAGATGTCTTTTCTTCAGCCATTTTATCTGCAAAGTAGTTATTAAAAGCGTCACAGCAGGCTCTCGTAGGTTGTAAAAGACGATTCAGGGTGGAAGGAATTTGATTTGGGTTAACTTCCTAACCACCCTGAAGAGCTCTGCTGGACGAGACTTCGCGGATGCAATAGGTGGAGAGTAGAAATATTTCTTTGCTGCAGCTATTGCCACTCGATAGGCTTTTAAGAAAAGTCCAATGTTGTGTCTTGTCAGATAAACACTGAGTTTTTCGCCAGCTGCACTCTAATCATTGTCCAACCTGCTTCATCCTTCTAAGATCTTCAGTGTACCAAGGATTACGATTTGGGGCGGGCTGGAAAGGACGCTTGGAAGCGATTGTGTCAATAGTCTTGGTGAGATCGTTGTTCCAGGTAGTCACCAAAGCTTCAACAGAGTCACCGTCATTGCCACCCATAGAACCCTCTAGGGCTTCTTGGAACCTTTGGGTTCCATCAGCCTTCGAGGGTAGACCATTATAATAGATGCACTACCCCAGAGGGGGTTATGGACAGTGGCCTTCAGTCCAACCTTCACCAGGAAATGATCCGTCCATGACAGAGCGGAAGTGGAAGACACTTCCACCCACGGAAGTTCCTGTTCCGTTCAAAAGACCGCATCAAGGGTATGTCCTACACAATGCGTAGGCCCAGAGACTATCTGGGACAGGCCCATGTTAGTCATGGCAGACATGAACTCCCGAAAATAGCATTAAAGACCAGTCTCTTCCAACAAACCTGTCCAGATGATTGTTAAACTACATATTTTTAAAAGTATGGATTGACTGTTTTACTATATATTGGTTTTACATATTATTTTAACTGATGGCATGTGTTTTTAAGAGATGTCATGTGTTGTATTTTAATCTGCTGTTGCTCCCTACCTTGATCCATAGGGAGAGGCAGATAAGAAATAAATATGACAATGAGGATGATATGGAGAATGTTGCCAAGTTAGCTCAGAAGTCAAGAGACATAGACAAGACAAGGCTTGAAGTATGTCTGTCTCTTGCTCTTGATGCACAAAAGCAAATGATGTCTCCTGCTCTTCTGGCATTTTGCCTTTCCTGTACAGCTCTGTTGCCCAAACACCTGAAATTCCTCAAAACATATCCACTTTCTAAATACGAGTTGGCCAAATTTGTACAAATTAG